GCTTTACCTCCGCACGCATCACAACTTCCCCGGCCGGAGGCCCAAACTGCTGGGAAGATATCTTTGCACATATTGGAAAGTCGAGGCACGAATTTTATATCGACTGACCTCGAAGAGTCTGCTAGACTGTACGACCAACGGCATCTCTTGCATCAGTCACATATACGCACTTACGAATAAACGCATGCACAGTTCGATAGGCAACACTGTAGTGGGTCCTAAACTTCAAAAAAATTCCTATTTTCCTGGGTATTTCACCAATCAAGGGCGTCTCACGTCACATACTCATAAACTGTCCAACGTGCTCCCCTTTAGAGCCAATCTTCCAGCTCAATTAGGTCAGCTGTTCGTTCGAGACTCCGAGCATAAATACCCCCCTTGGGTAGTTATATGTTTGAGTACAGCATAGCAGCACAACTTTTGGGGAGAGAGACCTGCATTTAATATAATTGCTTGCTTCCAACATTTTACCTCGTCACCTGACTTTGCAATCAGTCTATAGTTTTGATTCACCTTTGTGTGAGTGGATTATCTTTTACATCGAGATAACAATATTGTCTCGAATTAGAAAAATACGAGCTTTTAAGTATTCACCAACTTTCATACGCAGTACAACCTTGGTGGATGTTTGCCTCCGTGTGAACCACCCCCAACAGATTCCTTCAGTTGGCTTGACTGTTCTCTATAAAAACCACCGCTTTCAAGTCTATCCTCGCAAATACTGATTGAGTACAGAACTCAATAAACATTCACAAGCACTTCTCTGACTTGGAAATCACATTTCAAAATGCTTGGAGGGATATCACGGACAAAATTTTCCCCAGTGGCCAAAAGCTGCCCCTTTGTTTTCACAAGACCAACAGGGGTGAAGAGTGATGCAGTACCTCGGAAACGCTTTCACGTCGCTGCACGAAACTTATCTTCGAAGCCTAAAGTACCTCTTATCTCAACAAGGCAATTTCGATCAAATGCGTCAGGTCGAGCAGCAGTAACCGATCTTCCTATGTTCCATGATGGACCTGTCCCAGCACCATACGAACCTCCAAATACAGCAAAAGTACCTGGATTACCAGTCTACGATGCTTCTCTTACTGACAGGGCTGCGTACTGGCAAAAGATTCCTCGCTGGGCAAATGTCACAGAAGCCCAATTCTTAAAATACAAGTTTCATGTAAGTACCTCAGCCCTATGACTATGTAGGGGTTGCCAATACTGATATATTTCTGCAGACAATCCATACCATATCCACTATAATGCAGTTAGAAGTTTTTATGCTGGAAGTTTTGCCCCCGGTCCTTCGAAGACACCCCGATTTTCCCGGCATTGTCACTCGTGAGGACTTTATCGAGGACGTCAAGGAAGGGATCAAGTTGGCACCTATGTCGATTCGCTTGCCACCTCATGTTCTCAGTATCATTGACTGGGAAAATCCGTTCGAAGATCCCATTCGTCGCCAATTTATACCGATGAAGTCAAGTAAGCTCGAAGACCACCCCAAAGTTGAGTTGGACTCATTGCATGAGTCTGATGACTCTCCGGTGGAAGGCTTCGTTCATAGGTACTATGACAAAGCTTTATTCTTAGGTAAGTCTCCCTCAGTCTCACGGTATTTATCATGACACTAACTTTTTCCTAGCAACATCAACATGTCCTCTGTACTGTCGTTTCTGTACTCGTTCATGGTCTATCGGGCCTGATATGCAAAATGTCAAGAAAACCACATTCAAGCCTCAACGAAAACGTTGGGAAGACATTTTCACTTACATTGAAGATACTCCTCAACTCCAAGATATCGTTGTTTCTGGTGGAGACTGCTATATTTTAACTGCCGATAACCTTCGTCTAATCGGTGAACGACTTATTTCTATTCCTCATATCAAGCGATTTAGATTCGCCACGAAAGGTCTTGCTGTTTCTCCTGCGCGGATCCTTGACGATAGCGATGGATGGGCAGCTGAGATGATTAGACTCTCAGCATTGGCTAAGAAGGCAGGAAAGAGTATGGCCATCCATACACATTTCAATCATCCTAAGGAGATGACCTGGGTTTCAAAAATGGCACTCCAAAAATTACACGAGAACAATGTTACCGTGAGAAACCAAACTGTCCTACTCAAGGGTGTCAACGATGATGTGGCCACCATGAGTAGCCTCATCAAAACTGTGGCTGACAACAACGTCATTCCCGTACGTATATCTTACCTAGTTCGTCTTTTCCAAGCCGGGCCACATGCTAACATTACCTAGTACTATGTCTATCAGGCCGACATGGTGCAATACGTGGAAGATCTCCGGACACCACTCTCCACAATTCTTCAACTCGAACGTCACATCCGCGGTTCCATTGGTGGTTTCGTAACACCCAACTTCGTTGTTGATCTTCCTGGTGGTGGCGGTAAACGTCTTGCCGCATCATACGATACCTACGATCCCATTACTGGGCGCTCAACCTTCACCGCACCGGCCGTCACCGGTAAAAACAAGGAGAACAGAGTCTACGAATATTGGGATCCATTACATTCTCTCCCAAAATCAACCTCATCCTCTTAGAGAATAACCCAATTTCATCAAGTAAGGTAATGGCTGGTAGATAGATAGTTATTTGCTTTGGTGGCACCTTCGGAGTTATCATTTTGCTCGTTGGTACTTGGTACATATACCGAGTTTTCGAAATCTACGCGAACGCATGCTTTACAGCCCCAAAATTTCTGTATTTGGATATTATCCTAGTTTGCTATTACACGAGCGCGCGAATCTAGATACTGGTTCTATATTTGATGTTGTTCTGTTATGTTTGTTTTGTGGTGGCACGCTTGATACTTTTGGGACATATGGCAACTTCACAGTACATGCTTCTTTTTTGAATGCTGATTTGATTCGTTCTTGCTTGTGCACGAATTCTGAGTAATGAGTTAGGCTTGGTTTTCGGGGGTTGGATGGTTGTGGATGATATGAGAGTGGTAGGAAGGGAGAAAGGGAAATATAGCAATGCCAGCTCGAATAGGGCAAAGAATTGATATCGAGTCACTTTGTGATTTTCCTGACTCTATCTTTAATGGTTTATATGGGTGGAGACTTTTGCTTGAGAGCAATTGATGAGAGGGGACGTAAATATCCGGTCATTAGTTGCCTTACCTGCTTGTTTGGATGAGAATCGAAAGTTATCATTTCTTCTAATATCTTACGGTGATCATCAAGCTATCTTGTACTACGCAGTAAGATCTGAGCCTACCTGCTAGCGTAAACTTGAAGCGGCAGCATCATCGAATGTCGAATCTGGAGTCTCCTCCGATGTACTGGCTGCGTATTTAGCCGGCCGTGCCAGCCGTACACCATACACCATACATACATACATACATGCCAAGTTTCGCCAACCTCGTTTACCCTATAATCGATATTCGTAATCGCTAGATCTCAATATCACATCAGACGAATGACACAATACATCTTTCAAAAAAATTAAAAATTCCTTGGCGCCTCTTGCGCCCATATTCACTTTTTTGCTTACCTCCCTTCATCGAGGCTCAAAGTGTGAAGTCTCAGACTGCACTTCTGAAGACCCGATGACCCATCCATCGGGATCTAGGCACGTCGACTTGCTGTAAGATTACGTTATGAGGATAGCCGTTTCGCATTCCCATTCTCGTCTCGCGTGCCGTTCTTATCAATATTTGGGGACCCCAATATCTCAGACGAGAATAGTAGAGACGGAATAATATTTATTATTATTTCGCGAGCCGCAGTCTGCGGGATTACTACTTCGGGTTGGATAATATGTTGAAATCCACACTATTGTACGGAATATATCTTGGAGAATAAGAATTTAGTAGGATTAGTGGATTAAGACGTCTGAGATGTGTCTGATTCCGTGTCATTGCATTTTGCGAAGGGGATGTGATTAACATATGTTGCCGAGTATGACGCTTTATCTTTTCTGGAGAGGGGTTATTGGTGGGTTAGTGCCAACAGCATTGAAGGTATGGGATTTTATAGATATGATTTGAATGGTTGAGAGCAACTGAAATTCAATATGCGCGCTTACGGTATCCACCCTCCAAATGGACGAAAAAAGTCGTACACTCGATTACCCAAATAGATCCATACATTGAGAACACTTATATTGCAGTTTGTTTTTCCATACTATCTCTCTCTTTGTACTGAGATCTAAATGATTAAAATTATATATTGTATAGAAGCCTATCAATATATATGTTCAATCTTTTTTATCAGTACAATGATTCTCTGAGTTGGTATCAAATATTGAAAAGAGTAAATTGTCCAATTTTCCGTCTTGCTGGAGCCATCTTAAGCAGCAACTTCGAACCAATTTTTACATATATACAAGAAAGTGATTTGCTACACATTGTTTACTACTAACCTCAAATATCGTAGTATAAGATTTCTGGCGTGCGTGGTGAATGATACAAAAGCGCTACGGAAGATTGTAAGATAGGGTTGCAATCACAATTTTGGGGAGGACATGGAGGGTTTTATCGGCGAGACGCAACTGATATCGTTATGACTGCAGTGATAAGGTTTCGGCACGTACATATTGATTTACGGTGCATGATTTGCGGCTTCGCAGCTTTGCAGGGCATCATGTGTACAGTCGTTTTGCTCGATGATGTATGTATAAAGTTTTGCGTGTGTGTTAGGGGTCTCGATAGCGGAGGAAAGGAAAGCACATCTGGAGGTTTGGAAGTGGTTACGTTGATAGGCTTTGGTTAAGCATTGCCAAGATGTCAGATGGATATGAGCATTATTTTGGAGGAAGTTCCTTGTTTACTATACGTCGAATGTGCTGTATTGAATGCTTGGAATGGACGGAGTTCTTCGGTTCTTCGGTTTGAAGTATCAACGTTCATATCTACTTAGTCAGTACCTCTCTCAATCTCTAGACGAATTCACGTCATTCAACTGTTGGTTACAACTATCATTGATGTTTTATATTCTACTAAATATATCTTTCCCACCCATTCACTCATTCGCTCATGATAAAAGCCCCAGGAAATTGATATTGGCATTAGTCAATATAGCGACGGGAAGGTTCAAGGAACCAAATCAATCAATCACGAGACAAAATATATACCGAGGAACTGGATGCACTACAGATACCTAGCTAGTACAGTGTAGTTCGAAATTCCACGGGAAGGAATCCGAGGGAATCCTTCGCGACGTGTCTGTACAGTACCAAGATTTTTGAGCGGATTTTTTACTTTGCATGGTAATTTATATCTAACAGTTGGAACAGTCAGAACTAAGAGTTAAGTGTTAAGTTTGTGGAATCCGGAAAGGGTGAGGGCTTGGAACTTGAACATCTGGCGATGGAAGGAAGTTATGAAACCAGTGACGGCGATGACCGAGGAGGGGCTCGAGCACTTTATTTGTTTGTTTGCTATCTATCTCACTTTTCTACGATTCGTTCCATGGTACGCGTTTGAACTTTGAAAACATTGTTGTCTGAAATTGCAATATATACCGACGATCGATTATGATGCACTCACTGTATGTACAGTGAGTACTGTACATTGTACAGCCACGAAAGTGCACAGTATAATTTCAAGAAAGGAGATGATGCGGTTGTCACGGTTAATATGAGGAGCGGTGCTGGGATAAAGTGACACAAAGATAAAGATCAGAATATTTTTAGGAAGGTTTGGAGTGAGAGAAGAAGGTTCGGCTGGATCGAGTAAAGCGAGCGAAATGAAGGGGTAGATATTCGTGGACTTGCGAATTGGCGGTGATGAGCTTGGTCAGACATCTTAGGGTATAGAATAAGATTTTCGATGAGGGGATGGACCTGGTAATCCGAGGAATCGCTTTTTGAATTATTTTGAGTATGGTCGGTCTGCACAATCTCTGAAGTTTAGCTGCGCTCGTTGTATGCTGCTGCTCTTTTCTTCTTTCGCTTCGGAAATCTTTTTACCAATGTCATTCGGAAATTTAAAACGCCCATATTTCTTTTTGACGTTTGGACGCCCCAATTTCAACAAGGAATCCAGCTTGACATTGAGGCCATAGTCACTTGATTTCGTGAAGTTCCCGTGTTTTATATTCAATTATCAGAGTCTCTATCGCTAGCCGTGGGGAAGCAAGCGGGCGGAAGGATCTGACCGCTCCTCTCCTCGCCGCTGGAGACTGGATCATTCCACACAACGCCCCTCTCCTGTACATCAACGATTCCACACCGACAGCAAGGACAATCCTATTTGTACATGACCTTACGTGAAAGATTCTATTTACAGCGTACGAATCTATTTTCGACATATCGGACGATAAGTGCCTGCTTGCGCGATTCTGGATACTTTCCATAATTTCCACGAACTCAATCGAACGCAAGGGGATATTCATTTTCAGCTTCGACAGAGGGGAAATTTTTATATTCGCCCAACCGGCCTATCCTTGCTGCAGCACGCCTCTCGATTGCTTTGGGATCACAACCCACGAGGCTGACATTGCTTTGACGGCATGTGTTTGCTGTGTCACATAAATAGAGGTGCATTACAAGTTGGGTGCGGCGCGGCGGGTACAGCTGGGTCAGCACAGAGTTGGGCCACCTTAATGACCATGGCCTGAATAAAAGGCGTGTTTGCATATGCGTACATATGTACAAATTGCAATCATATCACAAGTATTCAATGTTACAGAATAACTGTTGTATAACGGGTTTATGTCCGTTACCCGTGAGAGCAATATGCTGTGCACAACATGTACTGTGTATATATGTACAATATGTCTTGTCTAACATTGGAAAAAAAGAGACGAGACGAAAGACATACATAGATACGAAGTACAAGGAGAAACAACCATCTCGGATTTGAACATGAACAATTAAAAAATGGAATATCCAAAGAATTCGCCAAGGATTTTCCCTTTCTTGCTCAACAATATAAATGCCTGTAAGTATGGTGGTTCTTTGCAAATCCGGTGAGCAGCCATTTGTTTGCTATATTGCTATGATCAAGACCTGGTCTATGTCCCTTAGAATCCTCTTCTTGTGGTCTTTCGTGCACTGGATCAAGTAAGGATCTTCCATGGATATCGCAAACAAGGTCGATTTATTGGTGAGAGCTTGTGCCTGCATACCAGGAATATTAAGACCCTTGAATCAAAACCCTTGTGCTTCCAGAATGGACGTGGAGATCTCTAGGCAAATCAAGAATCAATATTGATAATTTTGATTCATGACGATTAAAAAATACATAATGGGTTAACAACCGTACCTTACCTCAATGGAGGAAAAATGGACAAAGAGAGACAGCGAAAGAGAGGGACCCAGGGCCGGCGGTTACTGTGATCAGCGAAAGCAACGGGTCTCAATATCATTGACCAGAATCATCAGATGAACCTCTTGGGTCTTTGCAATCCTTCTACTTTCTCTCCACATGTTCTCTGAACCGCTTTCTCCAGTCTTTTGAATTGCTCTTAATTGTGCAATATAATTTGTTCGATTCGACTGTTCGACTGTTCGTCATCTCATATGCCAAGTAAGTCATAACGAAATCGAGTTACCTTACTTTTCTATGCCCATATCGATCCATAAGATCCATAGAACCATACCCAGACCGTACCAAACTTTTGAGCTACCTGGTCGATTCAGGTCCGGGGTTGCACACACCATACGCGGCAAGAACCCAATAACCTTTATATCTGAAGTCCCGTCGTAAGGAGATTCGTTCGAATCGTGTTGCATGATGCATTAGTTGGAGACAACAAATCTGAAAGAGCCACTCCAGTCTTACCATCTTCTGAATCCTTCTGGACTTGATATTCGGTCATGGCGTCCAATATGAAGGAACGAAACTTGAACATCACTCCCATCTACTCTCTCCCAGCTCCATCACACAATTCGACTTCGAATATCTTCTCACCGACTGCTCTTTCGAAACCGTCATTCGATATCCGTCCCGAATCTTCACCGGCTCTTCCATCGTCAAGTTTATATCGCAGGAATCACAAGGAAATGGCATTGTGCGGGGAATACTTTACAACAAATGAAGAGTTTCATGCTCTTCCACCCGCTCTAAAACGAAAGGTATATATATCACTTTCGCTGTTATACTTTACCACGGTCATCACAATTTAAAAAACAAGGTTGGGGGTTTCATTTCGTATTTCAGGGTTGAGCTATTGAAAAAAGTAAAGAGATGTAGTTTAGCCCGTGCCAACGAGGCGCCGTCGAAAGTTAGGTCTCTCATTAGTACATTTAGTGGTGTCTTTCCCGCGTGAATCTACGCTAGATCCTTCCAATTCATACTGGCGGCGGGATCAGCAAACGCTATGAACACATTTATATGCAGGTACAAGAGACGGTGGTTTTGCAATTCTTCTCCCGCGGTTGTCGACGGTATTATTGTTAAAAGATGGGTGCTAACCGGGCCCTTTCGCAGTATTTCTCAACTCTGGAGCGTCTTCGATTCGCACAAAGCTCGAGGTCAAATGCCCTCAATGATCTTCCCACACAGAATACCCGTAGAACTTCTATTGCCGACCGACGTGGCTTGAAGATTTCAGAGCTCGAGCCCCGGCGCAGACCTTCGAGACGATTAAAAAAGAAGAGGGAACATTCAATATCCAATAGTAATGATAAATCTTGGTATTTAAGCAATTACGAAACATTTCCGGAGACAATCAAAAGAAAACAATTTTCGAACGAAGAACAAGCATTATTAGCAAGCAGGATACGTGAAGCAGTTATATTGGATGCGGCGGATGAAAATCTCATAATCCGAAGACGATCTCGTCGCATGGCATCAGATCCACCGGTATTATCTCCAAGCGTTAGAGGTTCTGTTTTCAGTGGGAAAACTAGCGGGACTCGAAGGAGAGCCTCGATGTCTAGTATGGCCGATACGTTTCTTGACAGTTTCCAATGGATCGACGATGAGTCCAAGTTAGATCTTCATTTGGATGATTATCATGCTTCAATATTTCCTTCTCTAAAAAGCGACCGGAAGCCATCATTTCGACGACAAATGTCGATTTCAAAGCTTCCTTTCGGGCGAAGCTCGATATCTTCTATCACACCTAAATCTCCAAATCCCACATCACCTACCTTCAGCACACATTCCCGTTCGGCTACATCAATAACAGGACCTAGGCATGCCGCAAAACACAAAGTTAATTCATCCCTCTCGTCGATAGACCCTAATGCCACCTATTACCAAGACCCGGAAGCACGACTAAAGCTAAGAGTATACTTAGCGTCACCGCAGAAATTCGATGAGATAATCGAGTTTGGATTTCCATCCATGGATGCAGCGATGGGTGTATCAGAGAAGGAATATAAACCATCAAGATTAATATCGAAACGTTCCTCGAGAGACATGTTAAGGAGAAAGGCGTCGAGTCCAGCATTTGAACATTCATTCTTTAATGACGATACTGCTTCACTATTCGAAGACGATAAATCGATGGCTGATTCTGACGCACCCATAACACCCCTGGAATATGAAAGCGGATATCCACTACAACGATCTCCATTTTATTATACTGGAAAACCTCTTGCGGACTTTCAATCTGGGCCCAATAAAGTACCTAGCAAACAACAAGACCCTTATACACAAGTCATGGCAGGAAATCGAGAACCTACGTTAAGAATGACGCTTACACGGCAGGATTTGAGAGATGAGAGCGCAATATATGGATGGCAATCGAAGGAGCCGCTTGTAATGGAGGATCTAGAGAATCATAGGTATCCACGGGGACCTATGGGTGGGGCGGATGGTTGGGGGCCACCGGTCGAGAAGGAAAATGGGGTGGTAAAAAGGTTTTGGAAGAAGGTGAAGAGTCAGCGAAAGACTTCGTGATAGGGTATCTAGAACAGAAGAAAAGGAAATCTTTGCAGATGGAGTTATTTAGCGGGCGAGCTTGTATCTTTAAAGAAGCGTTTGCTTTGTATTTCCCTCTCTTTTGTTGGAGGCTCGCATGCATGGCAGGCTGGTTTTGCATAGCGATTGAATGGATACCAGGGATACTAAATCAATAATTTAGAACAAAAGTTCTGAATTGAAAGATTGCATTGTTTGAAATAATTTGAATGTTTGTGTGTGTGCCATACAGTTCGCCTTCTTTACTTCACCGACCTGTTGAGTCGTCGGTCAAGTTTGAAGTCGACATAATGTTCGAAATGGGTATAGCAAGGATCCGTTCGCCGATGAAAATTGAATTGTGCTTTGACTTGTGGGAGGAAGTAAACAATTTATAATACCATCGATCATACCGTCATAGCGGCAAAGAGGCAAAGAGGCAAAGAGGCGAAGAAGGAATCATTATTATTAGCCGCTGCTGTGATGTGACTGATGGTTGGTTAATTTTGTGCTTGACAAAGAACATTCCTTCCTATTGACGTTCACGGTAATCGTCATCATTCCATTCGTATTCCGCAGCGACGGTCGACGCCAGATTATTGAAGTGAATATAAGAGAGTTGCCTGATATCGATACTATGAATGATATAAGTGTTGAGAGGATTCATCAACATATAAATTTGAATCAAAAAATCAATGAATGCTCGCTGTCCTCTGTCCTCCCTCTCCTTCTCCTTCTGCTTCTCCTCCTCCATCTTCATCCCCACAGAAATAAATTCATCATACCAGAAATAGATTTTAACCCCCAACCAATAACCAATCCAACATTCATCAAGCGCGAAAGGTGCTGGGTTTGGTGTGGGATCTGAGTGCTCTTGCTTGCTTTATCATTGATAGGTCCGAGTTGTGAGGCACAGGTGTGGCGCAAAAGTGCCCTGAAACGAGTAGCTGTACCTAGGCTCACTATCATCATCATTCTTTCCAAAAGACACGCAATCCATTTACAATCTTTGCTTATTCAAACCCTTTTCACCACCTATTCTGCCAAAAGTAACAACATCTAAACTATCACTACCATCATCGAGTCGCCACTTGGTGATCCTTATCGAAGCTTCATGCGCTCCGGTATCACAACCAACCCGCGAAGATGAGGCTACGGAGCTCGGAGACAGGATGGCGGTGCCTCCTAATATCAACACTTCTTTATACTAGCGCATGGGCAAAGAAAGACGCGCCTGGAGTAAATTATGCCAAATTAGAAAATTTCCCACACAATCTGCAGTACTTCGACGACTCCGATGTGTTACTGTATGAGGACAGAGACGATGCGGTTGTTTACAGATCAGTGGATGCAGGAGAGACGTGGAAGAAAATCACCGCCGTTCCTGAAGGCAAAATGTTGGAGATATCGATGCATCCGTTCGATTCGAAGAGAGCATATATCATAACTTCGGGGAAGAGTCATTGGGCAACCAATGATAGAGGAGAGCACTGGGAGGAATTCTATACGGATAATCAAGCTAGTGTATTCAGACCGGCGCTGAGTTATCATGCAAAAGATCCAGATAGGATTATCTTCAATGCAATGGATTGTACGGGCATTTTCTGCGAAGAGTTGGTAAGAGGAGTGGTAATTCCTGCTGGGCGATTCAAATGCTAACCATTTTCACAACAGTCTATGTACACTACCAACGGATTTGACGAAACTACTAAATTCCTACGTTCCGATACTGCGGGCTGCCGCTGGGCAGTCTCGTCACCAGAGTTCACAACTGGTCAGAAGGACCTTGACAAAGACAGGATTCTCTGTGTGGCTAAAGGCAGATATTCTGTATGGAGGTCAGACTACCGACTTGTTGTCTCTGATGATTTCTTCACTTCAGACGGCGAAGATATACAAGAATTTGAGCCAGAACTGGAGCCAGGTCGAACGGTCAAGGGAATTGTTGAAATCGCACCCCAGAAGAAGTTCTTGATCACAGCCGCGGGTGCTGCCCGCACTGACGAGATGGCATTATACGTGTCTGATGATGCCATCAAATGGCACCGAGCAGAATTTCCACACGACCATAAATTGACCCAGGAGGCATATACCATCTTGGAAGGAACTAATTACAGTATCCAAATCGATGTTTTAAACACGCGCCCACTCAATGCTATGGGGGTCATGTTCACCAGTAATTCGAACGGAACGTATTTCACCCGGAACATCGAGCACACAAATCGAGATATGAGTGGCTTGGTTGATTTTGAGAAGATGGCTGGAGTGCAAGGAATTGTGATGGTCAACGTGGTTGATAACTTTGAAAAAGTCGAGAAAAGTTTCATGGAAGTGAAGAAGAAGAAGTCCAAAATCAGTTTTGATGATGGACGAACTTGGCAACCTCTCAAGGTCAAAGACAAAGATCTTCATCTCCATTCCGTCACAGAGTTGGACAATTCTGGTCGGGTCTTCTCTAGTCCGGCTCCAGGTTTAGTAATGGGAAATGGTAATACAGGAGACTACTTGGGGGAATGGGATAAATCTAACCTTTATGTATCTGACGATGCGGGAGTTACTTGGCATCATGCCCTCGACGGACCACACAAGTACGAATTCGGAGATCAGGGATCTATTCTTGTGGCTGTACATGATGGTAATACAAAGGTGGTTAAGTACTCATTAAACCACGGCAAAGATTGGAAGGAACTCGAACTCGAGGGTAAAATCCGCCCGCTACAATTGGTCACAACCTCCGATTCAACAAGTCTTAAATTCCTCATGATTGGGGTGGATGAGTCGGACAAGAAGCAGACTTTCTATATGATTGCACTTAACTTCGACGAGATGCATGAAAGGCAATGCAAAAAGGATGATGATTTGGAGAAGTGGTACGCGAGGCTGGATGATGACGGTAAACCAGCTTGTCTTATGGGCCACACCCAATATTATATGCGCCGCAAAGCCGACGCAGATTGCTTCATGAAACAAGAATTCAAAGACCCAGTTGTTCAAACAGACGATTGCCCTTGCACAGACGCTGATTTCGAGTGCGATTATAACTTTGTCAGAAGTGATGATCTCAAGGAATGCATACAAAAAGGTGCTTTGATCGTTCCAGAAGGTCAATGCAAAGCATTTGGTCCCGATGACACATTTAAAGGCTCTTCCGGATGGCGTCTAATTCCAGGAAATACTTGTAAGCGAGACAGTGGCAAGCAGAAGGACGATTTAGTCGAACACAAATGCTCGACTTCCGCAGCGCCTCCTGCTTCCGGTAAAGGCAACTCGACTGAATTCACATTCAAGGGTCAAGCATTCCTTGATAAACAATACCTTGAGAGAACTGGCGTTAGCACTCAATTGGACGAAACAATCGTATTACAAACCGACCAGGAAACCGTCTGGCTCACTCACGATCATGGAAAAACGTGGAAGCAAATCTTGAAGGATGAGAAGATTGTTCGAATTTACGCCAATCAGTACTTCAATGATGTTGTATTCTTCTTGACAAAGACCGATACTGTATTTTACTCTGTCGACCGTGGAGAGAATATTAGAAGCTTTAAAGCTCCCCATCCACCAAGCCATGAAGCTCTCGCAATGAACTTCCACCCTAGAAACAAGGACTGGTTTATATGGATGGGTGAGAAGTGCGATGATTCTGGTAGCTGTCATACCGTAGCTTCACTCACGCAAGACCGAGGAGATAGCACGTGGAAAACGCTCCAGCGATATGTCCGAAAGTGCGAGTTCATCAAAGAAGCCGAAAATCAACAACGTGATGATAAATTGATTTATTGCGAAGTCAAAGAACGTGAAAACAACGACGCTAACAATCCTAACCAGCTTGTCTCGAGTACGGACTTCTTTAGTGAGCCAGCTAAAGTGCATTTCACCAATGTAGTTGATTTCGCTACAATGTCCGAGTTCATTCTTGTTGCTACAAAGGATAATGAACACCAAACTTGGAAAGTTGATGCAAGTTTTGATGGGGTCAACTTTGCCGATGCCAAGTTCCCTCATGGTTTCGAAATTGATCATCAAGTTGGTTACACTGTGCTTGATAGCTCTACCCATTCCGTTTTTCTTCATGTTACAAGGAACAACGAGAAGGGCAAGGAATTTGGAAGCATCGTTAAGAGCAATTCTAATGGTACTTCATACGTTCTAAGTTTGAATGCTGTGGATAGAGACAGCGCTGGTTATGTGGACTTTGAGAAGATGTTTGGAATCGAAGGAGTTGCCGTGGTCAACGTTGTTGCGAATGCAGAATCGAAGAACTACAAGAAGGAGAATAAGAAGCTCAAGACCATGATTACCCACAATGACGGTGCAGAATGGGCTCCAATTCAACCTCCTGCACAAGGTCCAGATGGAAAGAAGTGGGGATGCAGTGGTTCAAAGGAAACATGCTCATTGAATCTTCATGGTTATACCGAGAGAGTTGATAAAAGCCATACATACTCTTCTCAATCGGCAATTGGTTTGATGATGGGCGTTGGAAATGTTGGCGAATTCCTCACAGATTACAAAGATGCCGACACCTTCATTACCACGGATGCTGGCATAAACTGGAAGTGGGTCAAAAAAGGAGCTTACATGTGGAGGTTTGGAGATCAAGGCTCAATCATTGTCATCGTGAAAGAACACGCATCGGTTAACGAAGTTCACTATTCTCTAGATGAGGGAGATCATTGGATTCCATACAAATTCTCCGATGCGGAAATGAAAGTTGAGGATCTCACTACGGTTCCAAGTGACAACGCTCGAAATTTCCTTCTTTGGGGTACGATCGATGGTACCCTCACAGCCATCAATCTTGATTTCTCGGGTTTGAGAGATAGACAGTGTGATCTTGATGAGAACGACGTCGAAGGTGGAGATTATTATCTTTGGCAACCAAAACATCCTCTGCAAGATGATGACTGTCTCTTTGGACATGTCTCGCAATATCATCGAAAGAGAACTGATGCCGAATGTTACAATGGAAGGTTAATTCCTTCGCTTCATAATATCGCCAGGAATTGCAGTTGTACTAGGCGAGATTTTGAGTGGTAAGTTCTATTTTCTGATATCAAATTTACAAAAACTAACACAAAATCAGTGATCTTAACTACGAGCGCCAAGGCGATGGATCATGTGTTCTCGTTAAAGGTTACTCACCACCAGACCATTCCGAAATCTGTCGCATCGATGAAAACGTCGTGGAATACTTTAAACCTACAGGATACCGTCGTCTTCCCCTCACGACATGCCAAGGTGGTAGAGAACTGGATATTAGTAATGAAGCACATTCTTGCGCGGGTCATGAAGATGAATTCAATAGGAAACATGCGGCTTCAGGTTGGGCCATCTTCTTTGCGGTTATTATTCCTATTGGTATTGCGGCTGCGGTTGGTACTTGGGTTTGGAGAAACTGGACTGGTAAATTCGGCCAGATTAGGTTGGGTGAACAAGGTATGTTTTTATCTCTCCCTCCTTCACCTCCCTCCCCTTACTCTTCTCATCTCTCTTCCCCATTCTTGCCTAAGAATTCCCTACTAACACACCTCACAGCATCATTCAATGACGAAGCTCCATACATTAAATACCCAGTAATGGCCGTAGCAGCAGCAGTAGCAATCGCCCAAGCAATCCCACTCCTTGCATCGTCACTGTGGCGCTCAGCTTCAGGGTCTTTGGGGAGAAATGTGCCGAACAGGAGATTCACTACTAGAGACAGTTTTGCGAGAGGCAGAGGAGATTATGCGGTTGTGGATGAGGACGAGGGGGAGTTGCTTGGGGAGGATAGCGATGAGGAGGTGTAGTTCTTTGAGAAGAGGTGTGGGGAAGAAAAGAGGGCGGAGAATTGAAGGGCAGTATTGTTAGCGTTGTAAGATGTGGGCTTGAAGGAAGCTCGGGGGGAAGAGTGCAAGGAAGGAAGGGGGGAGAAAAGGAATTGTATGAGTTAGATATAGGCATAGGAGTAGGAATAGGAATTGGAATTGGGTATTTTAGACGATTGGAATTCATATGAATGTGCAAGGAGAGGAATGGAGATGGACGGAAGCTCAAAGAAAGAAGGGAAGGAAGGGAGAGATTGTATATTATGATCGCGAACAAACGGACGAGCAAATGAAACGAGGATTATGAAATTTGTATTGTATTGCATTGTATATTGTATTGCTTCTTCAATATGAGTTTTTTTTTTCCACAGCTTTATTAAAGTATACTTTGTTACTGTGCTGTACCGTGCTGTACTGTACTTTACTTTACTAAAATGAGACTGACTGTGTGATGTTACATTTCTCTTTCGTTCTCCTCCTCTATGGATAGAGTAAGTGGTGTGAGAGTACCTAGTCATCAAGGAAGGGAGGGAGGACGTGAGAAGTGAGAGGGGAAGGGAGTGGTTAATGGCAGAGGAATGGAAGGATAGGAAAAAACATTGATCGAGGAGGAAAGCAAAGAGAACACATCATACAAATCTCATTCTATAGCACAGCATAGCGCATCCAAGTTCCCAGTCACTCATCAATCGTGCATTCATTTTAAATAAATTGAATTTTCATTCCCGTTCATTCTCTCCTATTTACCTAATAACTGGCAAATAGCCCACTCATCTACCGTGTCATATGTCAATCCGCATGCAACGCATATCCACCAATGGCTGCCATCCATCGGCTTCAACACGAAAAACATGCTCAGTAAATGACGACAGACGACAGCAGACGACTGATTCGACTACGAGATTTCATGCATGCATCAATCCATATCAAGCAATGGAGATGTAAAATAAAGTAAAGAGATCAGCAAATCTGGAATCCTCTACAGAGATTGCCAACCATTTTCGAGACCTTTGTAGCTGCTTTTTGTCAAGTTCCGCCATACCTATAATTACCGCCACATTATTTGCCTAGAAGCCTGCCATAGGTAGCATATTTAAATTTCTATCCACTCCTCCATTCACTTCCCACAACGCCGACCTTGGTATCTTTTTGGATCATATCCACCCTTTCTTCTTCACTCTATTGAGAGTTGGCTTTGTTCAGAGGTGGTAAAATTCGATTTAGATGCCAATCAAATCATCAATTTGCCCTTTTCCTCAGAATTGCCTATCCTTCCATATAAACAACAACGCCGTCGTGGATCCTCATAACTCAATAGCAGGCTTTTTAAAAAAGGAAAATCAGGAAAAAAAATTGTATGCATTTGCAGAAAAAGATCGTATATGCGATTTCCATTTGAAAATATGTGAAGTCGAAATTTGAGTGCCACTTTATCGTAAAACCGGCTGAGAAAGTGAGCCAACGATGCTCTTAACATTGTAAACACCGAGTGGCCAATCAATGAAGATCAGATCCAATGTAAACAAGTTTCTCTTGACGCCGGAAGCATTTCTCAGGAAATTACCCAGATCAAAAAGAGGAATGTTTGCTGTAATTTGAAGTTGAGCGTCTACTATAGTAGATCTGGCCAACTTCAGTAGCACCAATGATTGTTGGAGTACCTTGTCTTGGCGCCTTCTGCTTTGCAAGCAATTGAGTTTCAACATCTGTAATATCAAGATTAAAGAGAAGAACTGTCATTGAAGTAGCTGCACGGTCTAATCCATGTGTATCCACCTCGGTTGGCTGAAGATGGTTATGAGATGACGCATTCGCCTTCCTAAACATGGCGTAAACAATACCATGATCACGAGATCTGGTCTGGTGGACGGGGCAAAGTGGCATTAAAATACCGAACTTCAACTGAGCTCCCTCTTCTTGAGTTTGTGGTGCCTCGTCTTGAGTCCAGGTATAGCGTAACTCATTGGTGCGCAAGCCTTTCAAGAAAGCCGTCTTCAAAGACAAATTGTTGTTAAGCTCAGACTCGTAGCCGTAAGGTAGACCATAAGATGCCAAGATTTTCAACTTGAGACCATTCAGTCCCAAAAGATCTCTATCCGACATACCAGGGTACGGACAATCAACTCGAACAGCATATACTTGATCAAAACCAAATTGTCTACCACTGAAGGAGCATGAGAAAGCTGCTTCTGCCATATTTGACCAAGGAGCGTTGGGAGGAGTAACCTCATCGCCTTGATTAGGTCCACCAATCCTGCTGGAAAGAGTGGTTCCAACTGAAGTTGAACTCATTGATGAAAACGGTCTGGAGAGCAAGGTGCTTGGCGTTACAGGCTCTGGCTCTGATAGCTCCTCTTGATAAGTACTTCCTACCATGCTGTCACCCTCCATATACAAACGACCAAAGCTATTATTCAAGGAGATTCCGCTGGTTGATGGACCAAGATTACTATAGATTGTATTTGGGAATACAAACTTCGGTTGCTTGGGAGTTGCTGGTCCATCAAGGTCAAATTGGTGACTGTAACCGCCTTCAGAATCGAAAGTGTCATTTAAAGTGTCATTTGGAGTGTTGTTTCGCGGCAAATCCATTGATGTCAGGTCGCTTGTCGAATAAGGACGGCTATCAGGGTCCTCCGAACCTGGGAAATTTTGAGGTCGGGTAGGGGTCAGATACTGGCGGAAAGCCTCTGGCGAATTCTGGGTAGGAAATGCGGACTCCACAGAAACGCTTCGGTAATGTCCTGGAGCGGCCATATAAAGTATTTCAGAATCACGAATCGAGGATTCAGGAGATACGTTGCCAGAAACATCCTCTCTCTCTCTTAGGGAATCTGTTTGCTTCGCCAAAGGATTTGGTTGTTGAAATTGAAGTCCCATGGGAAAGTAAGCAGGCTGAGTGACTAGGGGAGACATTTGCCTCTGAAATTGAAGTGGATTTGGAAGCAAATTAATTTTTGTATCCCTTCTTGATGATACAAGAGGAGAACGACGCAAATCTGGGTCAGCCATACGTTCGCTGTGTAAACAGATATCTTTGACAGAAAGAGCTGCAAATTCAGCTAGCTCTTTTCGGTCTCCTCGAGCGAACTCCTTTCTAGGGGTTTTGCTGAAAATTGAAAAGACCCCAATGATTTCACCAGAATCTGAGATCAGAGGTGCTCCGGCAAAAAATCGGATGTGAGGTGGACCAGTAACCCATGGACTTCTCGCAAAACGCCAATCCTAAACCATTATTATTAGCATTGAGTTTAATGTGTAATAGCAAGCAGAGTAACAAACCTGATGTGTGTCTAAGATGACAAAGACGTCCTCTGAATAGAGAGCATGGGCTGAAATGCTTGTGGTGCGCTCCAGCGTCATGAGATTGTACCCAACTTCAACTTTCAATATCTCATGACGTTCATCAAAAATACTGACAGAAGCACTATTGAGGCGAAATCGTTTGGCTGCTGCTTCCATCAAAGCAATAGTCTTTCCACCCAATTCCGGAGTCCAGGGCACATTTATGGTATAATGCTTTGCAATTCTCATTTCTTCGTCATGTGGATATGTGGCTGGCAGAAAACCAAACCTCGCGTTACGTGGGGGTGGAGCTGGGGGCTTTGAGATATTGAAAGAACCCTACAAATAGATTAGCTCGATCCAAATAGGATATGGAGGGAAGCCCTCAACGATTCACAAGTCAGATAAGTGAAAGTGACTACTTACGCTAGAGTATGACTTGATGTAGTTGATCCATTCAGCAATAGCAGCATCATCACCAGTTGGTGCTGATGCTATGGCAACATATTCATATTGCTCTTCAAGGTTGTTCGTCACATTGAATTCACGAGAAGTTTCATCATAGAACGATGATGAATCAGCTATTGCTGAATCTTCCTCATCACCAGCATTAGTAGTTTGCCAATCAGACTCTGATACCTCAGAAATAGACTCAGTCAATCTGGCCGCAGCCCTGGCCCTGGCTCTTCCAATTTGTGTATTTGCAAGTGGGCTCGATGTCACTTTGTAAAGTGCGTTTGGCTCTCTTCGAGGAATGAGTCTTTGGCCTGGTAGAGGACGAATGAAATCTGGTGTTGGCAAGACACCCATTTCATCGATTGGATCGGGGTCTACCGCTGGTGAAGAATGATCTTCACTGCGACTGTACAAGGCCTTTCCTCGACTGGGAAGATCTTCAATACTTCTTGTACCATCAGATCTTGAGTCTTTCTTAAAAAGTCGAAAGAAACCACCAGATTTCTTTGTACTGGTGGAAGTATCGCTGACACCAGTGTGAAAGTTACTACTGTCGAATGAGCCTGTTGTTTGCAGTGATGGGGTTGATGGTTGTGGGGGAGTCTGAGAAGATTGGTGAACTTGTGCATTGGCATATCCACTAAATACACTTGATGATGAGCCGGGTGTCGACGGGGTAGGTATAGAATTCTGTGTTGAAGCTCCCGGTATTGTCGCACCTCTTGCGTGAGACTTCGGCTTCTTTGGTTTTGGTGGTGCTTGGTCTGTTTGAGTTAAAATTCGAACATGTTCAGGGAATGTTTTCAGGGGACATTTTCAAAGAACAGTGAGAGGATGAGGAAGTGCGAAAATCAAGTGGTTTTAATAAGAGAAGATTGACAGTTCTATGGTGAGGTTATGCTCGAGGATGGAATTTGAGAGTATCGTGGTGCTCGGGGAATGATGGTGATCAGAATTGTGAAAAGAGAAGCAGTATTATCACTGAGCGCCAAGCAGAGCCATATAGCAAGTGACTATAGGTACCAAAAACATAATATAATGAAACAATAAACTTACATGTCATTGGTCCAACTCCTAACATCTTGGCAGAATTTCAAATGAACTTTTGCTATGAGTGGTGAATCTGCAAAGTGTTAGCTATCTTGTGACAACAGATATGCTGCAGAAATCAATTGGTAAGATCATGTTTCATCTGGTATGTAAACTTACAGTGGCTCTGAGTCTTATTGTTTTGGTAGGAATCTGTAGGAAGTTGTTGGGGACTTGACTGTGCCAAAGGTGGTAGATTGTAGTAGGTCTACCAAAGTAAATCAAAGAGATTAGTATCAAGAATACTTCTCATTTATGCTTGTTATTTTCTGGAAAGATTACCGCAGTTGTAATGAAATATAACTCACATTTTTAACCTTTGGAAACAAGGCGCAATTTGAGGGACTCTTGAACAACTTTGACTTGACAGCTTCGAGAGAATTGTACCAAATTAGGGTGTAATACTGTAATACATGAACTTATAGAATCGTTCCATGCTATGGCTAAGGGTCTGATCAAATTAACAGTTGATTCTCATAAGCTGTGTGTCTGAGAGGAAGATTGAAGTTTGAAATTGAGGAATTCAAATTGTTGAAGAAGAGGAGTTCGACGCTAAGATGGATGGTGGGGAGAGAAAGTGAATCTCGGAATGCTCCTATTGGAATATTTGATGAATGGCTTACCTTTGGCTCCAACTCTCTGTTTATTAAGATCCGTTCCTCAGGAGTGAATTATTCTTGGTTCGAGCTGATTGAAAGGAGATGTAGATTAGGTTTTGGTGATTAAGTCAAGGAACAAGAGTCTGAGATTGTGTTAGCAATAACTTTGGACATGCTGTGATAGAATTTACCCCCCAAAGACAGAAGAGAGGATGAAATGTTTCTTTGAATATTCTCAGAATTACTCATAGAAGTGATGATGATCAAGGCAGCAGGATATTCAAACTCATCTGTATGATGAAGAGAGAGTATGAACACTTCAAGAAACACTTACTATGAGTGGATGTACTTTCTCAAAAGATACTTTATCAGCAATCTTTCATGCCATAGCTACTTTGGGAAATATTATGTGAAATCTTCAAGTTGAAGCAAACAATAAGCAGGGTTGCTATAGTGGTGTTCCCGTCTGAAGAGCAGGAGAACAACTCGGCTCGGATAATCTTCAAGGCCGAACTTGTTGACGATTTTGTTAATGAATGATTCAATCTTCACTTGAAGCACCCAATCGATCCAGTTGATTGTGTTGAAATTTAAAATTCGTGGATTTACAACCTTTCCCAGTCACCCTTGGAGAAAGAGAGCAAAGACTTCTAGATACGCCAAATCTCTCGGACCACAAGTCAAGTCAATCTAACCATTTGACACAATGGCCTGTAAAGAATGAAGATTTATATCTTCTTAATATCGGTTTAGGGAATGGAGAAAGGCTCCAATAACTCTGATAAGCCTCCGAGCAAGAATCGTGATGCTTCAAGTATCTAGACAAGAGATCGATTTCCAGTACGAATGTCGATCAGATCCTATTCCAATATTGCTGAGTTGAATGCATGGAAAATGCAAGTCCCTAATCCTTGTCTTAGAATAAGCAAAATGGAACAGTATAATGCTTTTTGGAAGTTCAAAGAGCCAAATCTTATGTAACGTCGTTTGGTTCCTAACTCGAGAATCTGACTGCAGTGCTACTTGGGTTCTTGGAGAGTTTGCCGACTGCTATTTATTGCTGCATAATGTATTTAGTACCAGCAGTGTAATGTGGGAAGAACTCTGAGGGGCGATTCTGAGTAACGTGGGGTTATGAAATGTTGTGCATACAAGATGGTACAAGTACTCGTATGTGGGTTCGAAGGTGTTTTACGAAACGATGGATGTGAAGTTGAATTGAACGTCGAAGTCTTGAAGTATTAATGTATCGAGTGCAGAGATGATGTTCTTCTTGATGGGATTCAATGTAAATAGAGAGGGTTTGGATATCGAAACGAATGTGTGAAAGTAGCAAAGTCTAGAATTTCGATGGTATGAGAAGTTGATGAGAAGTTGATGAAGGGGAAATGGAAGAAGCAAACGAGCACAAGAGCGACATGCATATGATGGATGATTAAGAGCTTTCGAGCAAGTAAGACTTCTTTCTTTCTGCATGTATTTCAAGAATAACGCCGAGATTACTAGGTTGTATGAATGTAAAGACTTGGTTCTTGTTTACTTTGCGATTGTTATGGTCGATAAGAGGAAAGATCCCATATCATCGTGACTTCTTCGTTTGGGAGTCGAGACGGCAATATATCATCAGCATCAGCATCAGCATCAGCATCAGATTAGAATCGGCACAAAACCTTAAATTTCATGGTACTCCGATCAACTATTGTTTCTTCCCCATTTCCCTGATTCAAGCTTTTTCTGTCAATACGATTGAAAGTATTATTAGTCCCATAGGCATATAAGGAAGAGACAACTTCGTTGAGAGGGATGTTTGCCGCTCATTGATCACATAGTGAGACTGGAGTTGAGTGCATACTCTTTTTGTATCCCTTGCCTCGCGGATCATTCTCCACCAACCCCATACCGGATACCGTCCATATCTATACACAAATTGCAGCTCGGACTACCTACTATTGATTTGGGTAAGAGATGTCTCAAGATACCTGGTACGCTTGACTTGGGTATGAGCTTTCCTCTGCCTGCCTAGGTAAGTAATTGCTGATAAGAGCGAAGAGAAGGGCAGAAGATTAGATTTGGTGACAGGTTTTCAAATAGATGTTTAACACCTGCTGCTAGGTAGGTAGGTCGTTCTAATTACCGTGCTTAATTAGACAATTAGTTAATTCGTTCTAATTATAATTTCTAATAGTCGAAAACCAATGAAATCCATTTATTAATGGAGACTTTCCATAAAAGCGTCATTTGATCCAATCATCACACCCAATTATATTGACAGCTGAAAGGGACAAAAATGATCCATGAAGGTGTGAAAGGTGGTACAAAATGATGTCTTGGCATGGTTGGATCTGCAGCTTCCACTTTACGATAATGTGCCTCTTGAAATAACCTCAACGTCCAGCTTCCACCGCTCCTTCTGTACAACAACGTCTCTTAGGAATGCTCTCATTCATATGCCTTCCGTTGGATTGGATTCAATCGTTCGTTCTTTCTTGCCTTGTCAGCTCTCTATTGATTTGTGTGTACATTTTTCTGTCCGTTCAATCAGCCTAAGGTTATCAATCGTTTCCTAATATGTATCCATGTCTCATGGCAGTTTGACATCTCACATTTTGACTATCATCAAGATTACGAAGTATTTCAATATGTGGGTTTTGGGGGGCTTCAATGTCTGGCTCGTACATTCTCTCTGGATTGATGAATGCATCCTTGCCCCTCTCATTAGCATCAGTCATGTCGCCTTGCGCCGGATACTGTACAATATCAATTGGTGCATAATCTGCATTTTGGTCTCGAGTATTCCATGGAACGGAACGGACGTTGTGTTGTTCAAGATGAAAAATCTTCCGAGGAGAGCTTTACTCGACGCTACTTCGGAGGTCACCGAATCAACAGCTTGCTTTAATCAAGAATTGTTTCAGTGCCATGTTTCTCTCAAAGTAGCCGTTTCATTCTTTGCTCTTCTTTCATTACTACTTTTCATTTTGTCAGCTGGCACAACAGCAAATCCTCCTCATTGTGGCCACGCTTATATGCTGTAGGAACTTAAGCAGAAGATCCACTACATATCAAACGAACCCACCTTGTGTTTGTACTTCCACCATAGGGCTCACACAAATATCTGCCCTCTCAACATCTGTTTCTCAGTCCTCCGATGATCGCCCATAGTTTGTACAACTCATCTTATCTGGACATACGATACTTCTCCATCTAGTCCATGCAGCCAGCCGTCTATCGGGCTCTTGAACCAGAATGTAGGCACATGCAATAACCCGGCATCAATCATGTGCCAAAGCAACCTCATACTACTCCATGGGCTATGATTTCCACAGATAATTATCACACAATGTTTCAGGTAGCTGTGGAAAGTTTCACACATCATAGGGCAGAGATGGTTCAATTACTTTCATGTCCAATCATGGACATCACTTCAGCAAGTGATGACGTATCATTACCATGCCAATTATCACCCACCTTAGTTTCTCTGAATTATAGATTCAGATCAACTACATCGATAAGGGTACCAAGGCAGGTTGCCTTTATCTTCAATAGGACAGAAGAAGAGTTGGCTGAAGTCTGAATGGGAGTCTGCCAAATTAACTAAGCTGCATACAAAATCGTACACATGAATTGTCTTTTTGAGGCAAAGTATTGTTTGCTTGGATATTTGAGCTTTCCCCCCCCAAGGCTGTACTGCTGAAGGATCTTTTGACTGTGATTTCAAGAGGCACCATCAATGACTTGGCAAGGTACGAGAGTATCAATCTTTCTCTCTAGTTGAGGGCTAACAGTGCATTTTCAATCTCTGCAGTAATCATTGAACAAAAATCTATTCATACGAAATGAAATTATGAACTCATTTGTTCATAAAAATCAAATGATTACACACTAGCTTATTTATCCTTCCATTCTTTACTCGCTCTTCCATAGCCTTCAAACCCGAGTCCAAGAGAATTATATCAAGCAAGCCTTTTCCCCAAACCCTTACCTATCCCTTGGCCCACTCGACCAGATCCCATCAAACTAAAAAGTGAATTATCACAGTCTTTCATTCTCAACATTTCTTATCGTCAGCTCACTTTTGTTTTTGTTTTCCCAAGGATTGATCAACAAGCAGAATCGACACTAAGTGGATCCTCTGACTATACTATACTAATGCACATACTAAATATCAAGAGAGAGCCTTGTCATTCTTCAAAAGTGGAAACTGGATGTAGGAAGGGCTACCAAATTGTTTCCAAATCGTTTTTCTTTTCCTGCTCTGGAATTTAGATTACTTATCATTCAGGCTTGTGAGATATCACCGATGGACCTTGAGTGGATGTTTATAAAAAAGAACGGAAATCGATCTTTATAATCATTGATAATCTTCTTTGATGATGAATTAAATTGCCAAATTACTTCTATCGTTTCTATATTCTTGAACCATTACACATGTCTTTAATATCATACCGAAAAATTCAACCCGATTTCTTTACTATCTAACAATCTTAACTTTCATGAAGCTACTCTGCCGCTGGAGCAGCAGTCTGTTCGGCGGAGCCTCCTCCTGTCGCTGAAGCACCTGGAGGCCCCGATGATGGAGCTACATCATCATATGAAATAGCCATGTACTTCCCAGGATAGTATTTAGCCACCCACATTTCTGCAAGCATACTCTTTGAAATATCTTTCAGGTAGTAATTGATCGGGACACCTGAAGTGCCTTCTGCAGCTTTCTTGAGATAATCCTCAAGTGCAGTCATCATAGAATTAATATCAATAATCTTATTCGAACCATCATCTATCTCCGCCAGAGCCGAGAGAGAGGATTTAACGTCACTGGCTTTCATAGACATCATTTGGGCACCTGTGCGCGCTGCCTCTGCAGCCTGCGAAACTGTGCCTTGATTGGCTTGAGTGGCATTTTGTAGAGCTGCTAGTCCGTCAAGACTTGATTGAGGATCGAACTTGGCAAATTTTTCAACACCCAGTTTGACGCCGTTGGACACCATAGAGGGGATAGCTCCCATGCAGATCATGGTAACGTGAGAATTTATATTCTGGGAACTGAGCAAACTTTTGACGTTGTTTGCCATAGACGAGTTTGCGCCAAATCCGCCAGCTTGTCCTTCGTAGAACTTGGCAAGATCCATTTGTTGTTGAAGCGATTCCACCACGCTGTTCATCTTGTCACTGGCCATCGTGCTTGTACTATTCAAAATATGCACCATACCCACGAAACTAGATCCAAACGACATTCCAGAGATGATGCTGAACTTCTTAGCATCGGGAGAATTGGATTCATCCTGCTGAGCAATTTGTAGCATATTGCTTGTGCTAGTTGGGACTATCTTGTCGTCTTTAAAAAGATGATTCCAGACTTTAATCGCTTTGTCGACATTGAGCGCGAAAGGAGCTAGAACGGATGCATTCTTATGCGTACAAGAAACGGAAATCACAAGAGTACCCGAGATACTGTGTTTGGATACTTGATCGCTGATCTGATTTGCAGCAGCTCGAGTCATCTGTGCCGCGACATCATTTCCAAGCCATTTCATCGTGGCCGATACGTATCCGGAGACATTACTCGCCAGAGATTTCGACTCTTGACTATTCGTATCATTTGTGAAATATTGGACATCCATGTTTATCGAATCGGAAGCCAGCGGCATGCTTTTGATTTGCGTTTTGACGTAATCTACTGGACTTTCCATATTCACATGCACGCTTCTGATTTGTGCGCGAAGCGGCTGGATCTTCTCTTCGGATTTTATCTTCTCCTCGGCGTAATCGGATGCGGCGTTTTCGATGCGGGAGTCGAGTTTCTCGATTGAGTTGCTGACTTTGCTGGTGCCGATGCCGAGATTCATTAGTTCTGTGCGTGTCATTTCGAGACTGCGTTTGGCGGTTAGAAGGGTGTTCAGTTCTTCTTGGGCGGCATCGACGGGGGCTTGGAAGGCGGAGATCTGGGATACGATTTGAAGAGCTTCGTTGCTGACTATGTTGGCCATTACTAGTGATGGATCGTAGGGGATTGAAGAAGGCATTTTGGAGGATTGTTCTTTGGATTGGTAGAGGGAGAGGAAATAGGAAAGCCAATTGCTTCGATGATGTAGATAGGGAGCCGTTTGTTTGTTATGCTTATTTAGAAGGTGTTCATCTAGTGGTGATAGCTTTGATCGTTATGGTTTTTTGAGGGAGATTTTTGCAGGCAATTTGGGCGTCTCGAGGTAGTCTATATATCTTCGTTTCAGAGTACTCATTTCAACGTCCTTGTCTTGGGTTTCCATGTGTTGCCATAAAATGAAAAACTTGCAGGCTGGCTGATTAGAATCGCTATCAGAAGCTGAGAATAACGCTTACTCCTAAGATAACGATCAGATTTCTTAGAGAGAACATCATGCGCTTGTTCTCGTGAGATTTGGATCTCCTCACAAGTGTTTTTCGGCTGAGTAAATTAGGGGGTGGAGTTAACTATAGCGAATTCATGGATAGTAAGTAGTCAGCTTATTTGAAAAGTCACCCTCGAGACTAGATCTACCATGCATCTCACTACCCATCTTCACTATGGCTTCCAAAGCCTTCGATTGCTGCTAAGAACATTCCAATACCCAATATCTCTACATAACCAAAAATCCTACCGTCCATGATTCGAGCTGATGTGATGAAGTATAGAAACCGATCCGACAATCCATTCCACGAACCGCAATACATTACCCGCCAAGCCCAAGCGTAAAAATTCGGTCACCGCAAAATTGACCCATCGACTCGTCCGACTTGTCATAGCCGAAACAAAGTCGAGTGAGGAAATAAGCATGCTAGGAAATTGTCAGGATGGTGGCTGTCTGTTTTTTTTATATCTCACCGCCGTGGTCGCCGATGTGTATATTCTTTGGAGGGGGGCGGGTTGTGGTAAGAGGAGAGGAAATTTACGGTTCTTGGCGCTTATTTGGGAGGGCTTACTGGGACTGGGATGGGGGGAGAAAAGGCTATTTTTTTGTGCTGGGTGGGATGGGTTATAGATGAAGGTTGACTCTTGAATAGGATTGTATCGTTGGATATTGGGATGTTGTCGATTTTGGGGGCTCTAGGGTGTTTTATGAAGAGTGGATGTGGGTAGTTGGGTGCTTGATATGTATTCTGCTTGGTTTAAAATAATGGTCTTTATTACTGAGAGTGAGTTCTACTGATTGATATTCCCCCTCTGTTAGTTAGGGAATGATTTGCTATACTTTACGTTTTTAGGGGTTTCTTCTCGTGGAAAATAACAAGTACTTATTTCGTTACTCAAAGTTTGCAGGCCCTAAAAAATTAGATAATAAGCGCTGATGATTGCTGACTCGTACCCAGACGCTGAATATCTCAGCCCTACGTGGCTTATATGTATATAAGCAGTATTTTTGTCAGCAAAGGCTCAAAACCTGATGAGTAGAGATACTTCTTGGCGATGAGATTGGGGTTTTATTAGAGTTAAGTGCTTATATGGGTTTGTTTAGATAGTCGATTCGATTATTTGAGGTTTATGAGAAGGATATAGTGAGGAGGTTTGTTGGGTAGTGTGAGGGTGAGAGCTCGGGGGAAAGGGTACCTGGGATTTTGACGAGGGGGTGGGAGAAGTTTTTGGGATGGAGGAGAGCTGAAAGGTAGGGGGTTGGGGTTGGGGCTTGAAGTTGGGATTGATTGGGGTTTCTTAGGCTGGAGGGGCGATGGTATATGTTAATGTGGTGAGGAGAATGTTATGGGCCGGATGGCAGGAGAGTGGAAGAATGACGAGAGAACTGTTGCAAGTTATGAAGAATATGGGAGGGCTGGAGAAATAGCGCGATAGTGTGGTGAGAGTTGGGACTAAGCTGCGCGGTATTCAAGGGCTCCTTAAGGATATCTAGAAATTTGGATCATTAAGTTTAGCTGTAGAGGGTATTCCGGAATTAGTTGGTGTACACTGAGGATTGAGTCGGCTGAGAAGGGATGTAATATAAGAGATCCGTTTCAGGGAATACGCGAAGCGTTGAAGACAAGATCAACCCTCTTCTCGAAAGTAGCTGTTCGCCATTCCATCGAGTGCACCAACTAGTGACTTTCAGTATCCCAAGAGTACCACAGCTATAGAAGTTCTCTAAGACCCAGCAGTCCACGAAAGATGTATGTGCTTTTGCCTCTTAAAGTACTATGTATTTCTGACACCTTTCAGACCACACAGTTACTCTGCCAAACCCTCGCATTGTCCAGAAATACAATCAAGTGATAAAATCCAAATTTCTCAAAGCCATTAGCTCAGGAAAAGAAGATTCTTTTCTGCCCATAACGAAGATCGAGAATTTGCATCATTCTCCACATCCCATACAATTAAGCTATTCCCGAGGCCGAACATGTCAAAGCAGACGTCGCTCCTAGGCAGTGAAACAGGTATCAGGAAGAGGAATTGAACAGTCGAAGGGTTCACCACCGGGCTGTCACTATTACCAAAGAATTCAGAGTGTATGGATGGATTTATAACCACATTGGAAAACGTAGGAAAGCTTCTTCCATCACTACACCACGTATATTCTTGAGCTAATTTATATTATCTCACTTCTGGCAACAATGTATCTGAATCCGGTACATCTAGAGATCTAACAGTACTGAGCGAAGAGAACTCACGCTGTAAAGTAGATACGAGATGCAAGCTTTTGGGAAGAAGTCTTGATTGATACTTACTATCCCGATCCTACGTCTTTATCATCTGCCAAAATTTTCCAATTACTATTCTTCATTTATTCTTTCATCCATTTGTTCCTGCATTCATACCAATTTTCTTACAGTCGTTAATAATAAATCTATCGCACTTCACGTTTGTATCTCGTACTTCCCTCTTGGATAAACCTTACACCTCTCCTCTCACACAATTCACAGTTCCAATCCATTTCATCCCCATTCTCTCCCACCAATTTCTTCTCTTTTCTCTCTCCCATTCACAACTCCGCAACCCAACAACTCTCCTCTCCTCCCCTCTCCCCTCCTCACAAAACCCAATCAATCCACCTACCAGCCTAATATGTACCCCAGGAAATCTTCTCCTAATCTTCTCCTAATCTTCTCCTAATCTTCTCCTAATCTTCTCCTAATCTTCTCCTAATCTCTCAATTCCCCTCCACCTCCCCCGTCTTTTATGCTAAAATCCCGGATAAACACCTTTCAAAATTCCAATACTCTCGACCTTCCTTTCGAGGTCCACAAGCAAATACCATCCATACCACCACAAACCGAGAAGGTAGATATCCACCCACAATCCCCATAAATGATTTCTATTTTCTATTTTCTATTTCTACTAAAACAAGCCCCCCAAACCAAATTCAAGGAGACAAGGAAATAAGGAAACCGATCCTACGGTCCTGAATCCCGAGAGTTGATAAATACCACCACACGACATATCACACCCATCACATTCATCACACCACACTCATCCCAGAATTTTGTCTCGTGCGAGAAGGAGGGTATATGTGGTGTGTATTATAGACTCTAGAGATGATATTGTGATCTGGGGTGCATAGGCTAAATGGAATCTGGATGGGGTAGAATGTCATTCTTGCATTGCATGGGGTACTTAGGTAACGATGGGTGAGGGTTTAGTAGCGGGGTGTGATTTTGCAACGGGTATTTAGAATTGGGAGATAGATGGAATTTTAGATTTAGATTTAGATTGTTGATTGGAAAGGTATGTACAATAGAGTAGGTAGAATAGAAGCGTAAATGTAAACTATGAACTTCGTATCTGCCCACTATCTCTCCTGGTCTTCCCGTGCATCCCTTCATTCATTTCCGAAAGCTCATAGACACTGTGTAATTCGTTAGTCAAGTAACCTCATCACACACAAAGCAGAAAGTAAGACCATGACCCCAAACTTACCTGCCAATAATACGAATTCCCAACCATACACTTATAAGGCGAAGCACACGAACCACCCGTCGTATAATTGAAACTAAGACCTCCACATTGTGCGTATTGTGGAAGCGCTTTGAGTGCAGGTAATGCGAGGATTTTCTGGCTTGCGTGTTCGGCTGCGATGACAATGAGAGAGGATGGATTTGTGGAGGGCATGCCTGGGAAGATTGATGCATCTGAATTTGTTAGTGGATGTTTACTCATGAGGAAGATTGAAGATTTGCTCTGTAGATAAGATGAAGGAGATCGAGAGAAATAGGATACATACCAACCACATGAATATTATCAGTGCCATAAACCAGCGCGTTGAGATCAACCACAGAAGTACCGCCTGCCAATCCAGAATCCGTTCCCATCTTCGCAGTTCCTAGCCAATGGTTTGCTCTTCTCGCCCCGATATTTGCATATGTAAGTGGTATACTTGCTACGTATTGTGCGCCCGTCATCCCCGGCTTTGGATAGATAAATGTGAGATTCTTGACTGTTGAAAGTGCTGCTACCATATGATCAATAGCTGTAGCTACTGCTGCGAGATCATATGTATTTCCCCAAGGCATGGTAGAAACGGACATTGTGAGGCCCTTGCTGATTGTTGTGCGTCCTCGTGGACCGACTTGGCCACGACCAAGATAAGAGGAGAGAGTCATGGCGGTGGGGACGTCGCCTTCGACGCGGGCGGTCCACTGAATAGCGCGAGGAATTCCATCGCCGGGAGTTATTTGGTCCCAGAATATGGGGCCAATGTCGGGAGCTGCTTGGGCGAGAGGGCCGGTGCGTTTGGTTAGGTAGGAGGTAGCGTCTGCACTTATGGGCGTATTCCATGCTGCAACCCAATCATAGTAGGAGATATTCGGATGTGAGATTTGTGTATCGGTATTGAGATGATCGTCGAGGTTATAACCGACTGGCAAGTTGTACCAGTAGCTGGAGTTAATCATTGTTGGTCCGTCGGTGGAGGTAAGTACTACATTCAGCTGATCTGTGGGACCTATTCCACTTCTGAAAAGGAGCTTGGGAGTTCCGAAAGCACCGGCTGATATTATGACTCGACCTGTGACTGGAGTCAGGCTGACCACTCCTTGTCTGCCTCCATTATTTGTGGCCTCCACTTCTATACCAGTTGCA